TGAGAATGGACTGGGTCAATCTTGGTGCAAGCACGGGAAGAGTAGGGAAAGGGTGAGTGTTTTTCTTCATTCAATGGAATAACATAAATTAATGTTACTGTACATGGATACAATTGCTCTGCCCGGGCTGCTTCTCATTATTTCTTGGCTGAGCTGGTAGATAAGAGAGCCCCAGGACAGGAAAATGCTCGACCTCAGGGAAATAAATTCTATTATGCTTATTTGGCCAAGCACCAACAAGTGCAGATATCATCCACTCAGCCTGGCCTTTGCTTTTAGCCTAAAGGAACCATGACATGCAGAACCATGTGTGGAGGCAGATGAGAAAAACGAACACAGACACCAAAAGTAGTAACAGCAACACAATAAGTAAATCAATATAAAACATAGTTGTATCTAGCCAACTGGCAGCCGTGCACACCTGTGTTTGTCTTGGATGTATTGGCGGCAGTTTCATGGGTTGGTGCTTTTGATACGTGACTATTAAGTGAGTGGCCCAGAAACACAGAGACAGATGACCTCTGTAGACAGGCAGTCTATTGCCTCTGCAAAAAAAAGGATGTGAAATCTGCCGGAGCTTTGGGAGCTTTTAGAGGCCATTTGCTGCTGAGGTTACATTATGTAACAATCCAAAGCATTTAATCTCTTCTTCCCCCCTCCCCCAATCCAGCTATTGGATCTAACTTTTAAACAAGGACCCCCTGTAACATGGAAAAAAAACAACTTGAATTTATACATTACCCTTCACGCAAGATAGTGTCTTGGAGTGGAGGAAGGGAGTGAGAACAGCATGAAATGTTTGAATGAGTATGTGATGGAAAATATTCAGAGTGCTTTATAATGCAAATCCAGAGAAACTCACAAATCCAGAGGTTGTCATCTGATAGCCAGTCAGCAGTGGCTTTCAGTTCCCCTCAGTGAACACTGAGGTATTGAAGGAATCCTTGATACCTCAGGACTCCATGGTGACAGGAAATGCATTAATGGTATTAATAGATTTAATATTCAATAATTATAATACAAATTACATTTTTAATGAGTTTAACGGCAGCAAAAACTGCATTTCAAGATTACTTTTACATCAGAAACCAATTTATTCTGCATGCGCTGATGCACTCCAGATTAAATTTAAGTGAAATGGCAAATTAATTCTGACATGCATTACGCACCAATAATAAAACTATTTATTTATCTCTGCTTAATTAAAGCTGTAGTATACTACAGGAGGCATTTCAATTATTTTATCAATATAGTGTATATTGTTCAGGCAAAATAAAATTTCCTGCAGAATTTCAGATGCAACCTCCAATTCGTACTTATCAATTTTCCACCATTTCTATTCAGTTGTACCAATCTTTAAACAGTATTTCATCTCTCTTTCTTTGCCTCACAGATTACAAGATCACAAGATTGCTTTGGATTACGAAGGACCTGTAGCCCATCCAATCTCATCCTTCCAGAACACTCAGTTTTCTCCCATCACAGCATCAAGCTGATTTTTATTGAAACCAGTGCCCTGACCTGTCACCTTTCCTGACAACTTGTTCCAGCCGCTAATTACTCTCTGCGTGAAGAAAAAGTTCCTGGTGTCTGTCCTGAAATTGCTCTTTATAACTAAACCTGTGACCTTGTGTTCTACTAAATTAAAGTGAAATGAGTGAGTAGCCAAGTTCTAAACTTAGCAAAAGTGGGTGCAAGGTCAAGTGCCAAACTCTACCTGAACCTCATCCTTCGTGCTGTACCCATAGGAAGCATAAAAAAAACAAAATTCCTCATGATTTTAGCTTTATAATCATTAACGTCAGGACTACTATTCTGTGTTTTTGATCATCTTTCCCTTCCCCAACCTCTCTTGGCTCCATTCTCCAGCTCCAGTGCCAAAGCAGTATTGTTAAGGACTTTGGGACATCCTCCAAACAGGAAAGACACAATGTAAATGTAAATTTGTATTGTAATTTCTATTGTATTCGTTTTAAAATTTAAGACCGTACAGAACTTTGAAAACAATTCTTAAATTTATCACAATTTGGAATCTGCTGCGGAGAACAACAGCTTCCAAATTGTTCTAAAGAAGCTGTAGGAATTTCCAGGCCTCTGCTGAGGAAACTCTGAAGGCTGCTTTTGTGAGGCCAACTATCTGCACTCTGAAAAGTGCTCAGCTTGTGGCACTGACACGCAAGCATCACTCTCAGTGCACTCGCATGTTTATGTTCTATGTTCAACAATCTCATAGGCGGAATTCCTTATGTCTGGCACTTTAAACAGCAGCACCAACAGGCAATGTCCCAGCAGGAAGGGCAATTACGCTTTAAACCTTTTTAAAACATGTTTTCCCTGATCAACTGCTACAGTAACAATGGAATAACAATACTAATCTTTGGATTTGATATAGCGCCTTATCATGTCTTCGAGATATCTCAAAGCGTTTCACAGAATTTACTGTAAAGTGTAGTGACTGTATGTTTTGTGAGTGAAACGTGGCAGTCAATTGAGCACAATAGTGTCCCACAAACAGTTGTGGATTGAGTGACTAGATTACTATTTTTTTTAAAAAGGGATGATTACCCCCAGAAAAGCGATCCACCAATCGACTAACAACTGGGTTCCTACTTACTGCTAGGTAAACCGAGGCATGTGTGTGGAGTAAGGAAACTTCCCTCAGGTTTTGTCTTGCCCGGGAATCAAACCCAGGTTCTCTCGCTTGCGAGGCGAGTGCTCTAACCACTAAGCTACAGATCTTTGACCAAAAGGAACAGGGAACACGGTATGAGGACAGTGAGATGTACACGCACATACACACAGACTTTAAGAGGTTCTTTTCCCAGAAAAAAACACTGGATAAATCTCAGCACTGCACATCAGACAACTGTGCCCCCAGCTGTTTACCTCCAGTTATGCTACTCCTATTTAGGTGGTATTAAAGAGTTTTAAAACTCCTGTGCAGGATTGACCAAGTAAGTCTCCATTATCTCTGCAGCTGAGGTTTCAGATAATGGAATAGGGGCAGTGACACAAGACAGACCCACCAGTAGTAAGGGTCAGCTACTTGATAAGTGACCGTTTTTTCATTCTGATTTGCCTGCCTGCCACGAGAAGGGTTTCCAGCAAATCTGTATTGTAAAAGTGGGATAACTCTATCACTCTGTGTCTACCTTGCAGTGTAAAAGAGGGTGGATTTCACAGCACCAGGGACTCAGGATATGACATTACTGCTTCCACTTGTAAGATAAGAGCAACAAAAGAAAAAAAAATCCATTCATTCTCAACAGCTGCAAATGTCACTACCCAAGGGATCAATATCACATCTCCGAAAATCCAAAGTGCTAAATTCACAGATTAATTAACACTTAAAAGCAGCAATACCATAGAGTCATTGATTTTTACAGCACAGATGGAGGCCATTCAGCCCACTGTGTCTGTGTCTGCTCCTTGAAAAGAGTTATCCAAATCAATCCCATTCCCCTGCTCTCCCCATAGCCCTGCAAACTTGTCCTCCCCAAATAATTATCTACTTCTCTCTTAAAATCTGCTATTGAATTGGCTTCCACCGCTCTTCCAGGCAATGCATTCCAAATCCGAACAACTCGTTGTGTGAAAAAAATGTCTCCGCACCTCCCCTCTGTTTCTTTTAACAACTATTTTAAATCGGTGTCCCCAGGTTAGCGACCCACCCCCCAGTGGAAATGGTTTCTCCTTGTTCACCCTATCGAATCCCCTCATAATTTGGAAAACTTCCATTAAGTCTCCTCTTAACCTTTTCTGCTCCAAGGAGAATAATTCTAGCTTCTCTAGCCTTTCCTGATAACTAAAGTCCTTCATTCCTGATACCATCCTTTGCACCCTCTCCAATGCCTTGACATCCTTGCTAAAGTGTGGGGCCCAGAACTGAACACAGTACTGTAGCTGAGCCCTAACCAGTGTTTTATAAAGTTTCATCATAACTTCCTGACTTTTGTATTCTATGCCCCTATTTATAAAGCCTAGTATCCCGTATGCTTTTTTAGCAGCTTTATTTTCCTGTCCTGCCACCTTCAAAGATTTACTTATATGAACCCCCAGGTCTCTGTTCTTTCACTCCCTTTAAGATTGTACCATCAGCTTATATTGCCTCTCCTCATTCTTCCACCCAAAATGCATCACTTCATATTTTTCCATATTAAACTTCATCTGCCACGTGTCTGCCCATGTTACCAGTCTGTCTATGTCCATTTGAAGTCTGCTATTAACCTCCTCACTGTTTACTACTTTCCTAGCTTAGTATCATCTACAAACTTGGAAGTTGTACTCCCTATACCCAAGTCCAGGTTATTTATATAGATAAAAAAAAACCTGACCATGTTCCAGACACAGAAAATTACCCTGCTTGGTGTGGTGAGATGTACAGTGTCCTTCCAAATTTATTGCACGGGTCTTTCAGATTCACAGCAAGCTCTCAATGGCAAGCTAAGCAGTTTTAGCTGGTTAGACGCCAGCAGTACCCCAACTTACACTCTGGGATCCCCAAGCATTGCTTTTGCCAGCCTGCGCCTAATACCCCCCAGAATTAGGTAAATTGGTGCATTGTTCCAGGAATGGTGGCAAATAATGTCTGGGTTAGATACTCTTAAGCACAGCGATGAGTGTCCCCATGTGTCAGGTACCTGAATGACCTCACAAAAATTCAGATTCATGAAAGAATTAGTGTAACTTACAATCACTAGTCATCTACCTACTCCAATTCTGAGTCTCAACATTTCTCAAGGTCTTAGCCTTTACACCATTTTCTTGGTTGAAAGTTGTGTAGATTTTGGAAATTACTTTAATTGAATCTTAAGCCAGTTTTCTGAAATTTCTTTTAACAACCAATCTCCAAATTAAGACTAGGTTTAAAATAAATTCCAAAGTTCTGCACAAACCTAAATTTTAAGACGATAGTCACGAGGCCAAGGCCAGGCAAAATTTCAAGCAAACATGGACCAAAAACACAAGCATGTGATATTACAGTATTCCGCTCTCCATACCTCTCTGGCAGCTCTTTCACCAGCCTGCACAGCACCCTCCATGTACCCACTCCACTCGGTAGCTGTCTCAGTACCAGCAAAGTAGATCTTCTTAAACGGCTCCCTCAGGACTCTTCATACAGACAAAATTATTCATTAGCAATGTCAAATACAAAGTTCTAAACATTAGTGCAACTACTCAGGGGGAATATTTATGTGCATGAATGTAAAACTAGTTATTATTAATAATCTTTGCATTTGATATAGCGCCTTATCACGTCTTCGAGGTAACTCAAAAAACGCGTCACAGAATATACTGAAACATGAATTGACTGTATATTTTGTGGGCGAAAGTTATTTAGTTATTCCATATATTTGAAGCAATATTATATATACATAGCCCAGTATAGTACATATACATACAAGATTGTGGATAGTAGACCAGTGCTAATTCTATTTTCTTTTGGTTATTTTTTCTCTTTTATATGCTTCTCTAAATTGATATAAGCACTGGGGATGGACTACTAAGGTTTTTTGCTCCCTGCAACAGAGTGATGCATACTCAAGTCAGCTACAGCACCCAAATACAGAGACTTAATTTTTTTAAAAACAGTTTTGCGCAGTGTGCCTGAGATCACAAGGTATTGTTACTTTGAGATGTCCTCCCGACACTAAAGATTCTATATAAATCTAAATTGTATTGCATTGTACCAGGTCAAAAAGGCCCAAATTCATGTCACATAGGACTTTTACAGACCAACAGACAAAAGAAGAATTTTATCCTGTAGGTCTTGGCTGGATTTCGTACCAGGGGATGGATAGGTGAAAGGGTCATCCAGACCCTCTGAGTTAATATTTAGAAAGTAGGCAGCTTGCTCATACATACATATATACATAAATACATACTGTACATGGTTTATGCATGCAAAATTTAAGTTTAAATGTAATGAAAAAGTGGAGAAATGTGTTTTTAAACAGTGTTCACTTTTGTGACCGAAATAGTGACTTCAACAACACAAACGACTACACTCAAAATGTCTTGCAATTGAGTCACACTGACGATTGCATCAGTTAATAAATGAGAAATGCGCTGCACACTTTATTAAATTAGGTTAACAAGGCACAGTAATCCAAGGAACACATCACAATTAACAGAAACAGTTACAGTTAGCAATGCACAACCTTTTAATTTAATCCAGGGAAGACACAGCAAATGTTCCCAGTGCCTCCAGGAGGTGTCGAGGTCTCCTTTTACTCTGCCTTAATGGCAGTAAAATTTGTTTGAATGTTCCGTATTAGTGCTCTGATTCATTTGGGCTATTTTCTTCCCTAGATGCACCAACCTAAATCAGTCCAATATTTTACAATTGTTTTAACTGCTAATGTAGATAATAAAATTGCTGGACTTACTTGCCAAACTGAGTCATGATTCCGGGGGGGTAGTACGCAGTGTAACATCCGCCCGAGTACTGCTCCTCACACCAGTTCTTCTCCTCATAATGAACCGGCTGGGTACAGACACAAAACACACAGGTCACAATGAGAGAGTAAAAAAACTACCCTATTATATGCCACATGCAGTAAATTTTCTTCTGTTTTTCCCCATTGTTCTCTTCTTTTGGTTAATCACATAATCTCGAAGATTAAGATTGGAACAGTTTGATCGTTTTGTGGATAATGCTCTAAAGTGAGAGTACCTCCCATCCCCTGTACTGTATATAGTGAAGTACACTCACAGTGGGTGTTGAGGTGCACTCACAGAATGATGCATACCAACAGAGTGATGCATACTCACAGTGAGGTGCATTCACATTGAGCTTTATTAAGGTTTATTTATAGTGAGGTCCATTCATACAGTGAATATTATGCATACAGTTAGGTATGCACACATGATGAAATTTTTTCAAATAGTGAGGTTTACTTGTCAAAAATGAGGTATGCTCATATATAATAAATAATAATCCTTGCATTTGATATAGTGCTTATCAAGTCTTTGAGACGTTTCAAAGCGCTTCACAGAATAGACTGTAAAGTGAATTGACTGTATATTTGTCGGCGAAACGCAGCAGCCAATTGCGCACAGCAGCGTCCCACAAATAGTCGTGGATTGAGTGACAAATTATTATTTTATTATTTTTTCTTGAGAAATTATTATCAGGCTTGTGGAGTAAGGAAACTTGCCCAAGGTTTCGCCCAGGACCACTTACAAGGCGAGTGCTCTAATCACTGAGCTATGGACTCCACTATATGTGAGTTATACTTTTATAACACTTCTTTCCCTATAAAATCTAGAGTCGTAGACCATTTGTAATATAAAATGCAATTTAAGCATTGATAAATAAAACAAACTAGCAAGGAAGAGGATAATCAGCTTACATGCAAAGCCTCCTCCGAGCCAAGGACTTTAGCATAAATCTCACAAATCTTCTGCTTCCTGCAAAGTAAAGATGATAAACCAAGTTACATCAAACCAGGTTTGGTGAGTTTCTACACCTCATACGGAATGAATCAGGGTGGGATAAATTCTGTTACTTTAAAGTTCCGAGGATGAATATCGAAGCTGGAATCTAATCATCAAGCTTTTTAAAACATAAATGCTTGCACTGATGCACATTACCTTGCACATCTTTTATCATTTTTTCTTCATATTACAAGTTTTTAAATATTTTTCTTTGATAGGCAAAACCTGCTAAATGAATTAATTGAATTAACAGCTTGAAGCAATTCCAGAGACCAACAGATGAAGTAACAGAGTAACCTCCATAGATATTAACTGTGTTGCTTCACACCTGATCCAGCCATTCCGGATAAGCTTTAACTTATTTCCAACTACTAAGTGACAGACCTCAGTATCTAATTTTTCCTGTGTTTAAGTTGTAGTATCTCTTAAAATAATAATCTTTGCACCTGATATAGTGCTCATCACATCAATGAGACGTCTCTGAGAGTTTCACTAGATCTCCTATAAAATGGAGTAACTGTGTAGGCAAACATGGCAGCCTATTTGTGCACAGCAATGTCCACAAATAACCATGAAGTAAATGAACAATTTTATCTTGGGGATTGTTGGCCAAGACACCAAGAGAAACTTCTTTCTCTTTTCAAAAAGTGCTGTGGGGTCTTTAAGATCCACTTGAACAGGCAGGCTGGGATTCGGTTTAACATCTCATCTTAAGGACAGTATCTCTGACAATGCAGAGCTCCCCCACAACTATACAGGGGTGCCAGTTTAGACTGTGGTACCAACTTGGGTTTTGAACCCACAATCTTCTGATTCATAGGCAAGATTTCTTACAAAGGAGCATCATTGCTTCTTAAGGTTGATAGAGTTGCAGTCACCCGAGCTGGTGGTTGGGGTCAGGAGGGGTGGAGCGTGGGTGGGTAGGGGTAGGACAGTGACCGAAGGCTTGGTCCAAGAGGAGGGTCTTGAGACAGGTCTTGAAGGAGGCAAGGGAGGGGACGAGGCGAAGGGACTGTGGGATGGAGTTCCAGAGGATGGGGTCAGAGATACAACAGATTAGACCACAGTATTGTTGTTCTGTTGATTTCAATCCTTTACCCAGAACAAGGTAATCCATTATGACTTTTTTTTAAAAAAAAACCAATTGGGAACAGTGGTTTGCAAATACTGTATTGCTGAATTATTTGCCACGACTTCATCAATAAGTATTTGTGGTTTCTCACCTCTGTTCCTCTGTGAGACTTACAAGTCTCCGTGCATTTCGAGCAAGGATAAATCTGAAAAAAAATTAGAAAAATCAAGGTACATCATTTTGTTTCTCTGAGATTCATTTAAAATATGTTTAACATATAAAGTTATTGTTCTCTCCCACAATACTGTCTCAATGTAAAAATAAGTAACATGTCTTATCTAATTGTAAGGCAAGACATTATTCATGTGTAGAAACATGCCCATCAAAGTAAACACTACTCTATTGCACACAATTTTCTGTTACAGAACAATGTATCTGGGTGGGAATAAAATGCACAAAAATTCTAATCAAACAACACAAACTGTTGTATGGTCATAGAGTGGATTGTAATTCAATACAATGGCTGAATCTGTGTATGACCTTTGAGAACATGGTGGATAACTAGCGATAGCTGAGTGCTTGATACATCTACACATCTGAACACTGAAAATGGACCAATAGATAGGTATCCTTAACCTGCCAAGACTGCCAAACTGAACTAAAGATGCCCAGGTGGTGTCAATTACAGATTTTGAGGGTTAGGGTGGACAAATTCTACACCACACAAAATATAGGATTTAGCAGTGAAATGTAAGCTGATATCATACTTGTGTGTGCTTGTTTAATTGAAAAACCTAGGTGAAAAGTTGTGGTGTGCAGTACAATACATCATATCAACACAGAGGAAACTAGGACAGAGACCAATGTAAATTAAGAAATGGCGGTTAGCAGATGCTATTCTTGAGTTGCAAAAGCCTGCGACAGATTGTAGCAGGAGGGAGGACTGAGGGTGCTATGGAGTTCCAGTGTCTTGAGGTTCAGACAATGAGAACATTACTGTGGAAGACAACACATTGACATTTCATTTTGCTACAGCAAGGTGAAGTCACAGTAAGAGGGCAATTCATATTAAGAACTTTCTAAATTTAGACTTTGAGTCAAACCTCAGCGAGTGTCTATGCCAGTTGTGCGATTTAATCCTACAATAATCCTTCCATTTAGTATAGCGCCTTTCATGTCGGGAGGACACAGGATTTACTATGAAGTGGAATGACTGTGTATTTTGTAGGCAAACGTACCCTATGATGGCAGGGAAAGTTCCATCTGGTTTGGTGTCATCCAGAGTCAGGCCAATAGGAGACTTCTCGTCTTGAATGACCATGCTACCACAGTAACCTGGTTGAAACAGGAAATAAAGGACATCTAATTCAGAACTTCAGAGGGCAACAAATTTAAAGCGACTGCACCTGTCTTTTTCAAAGTAAAACATTTTAATATGGCTCAGAGTTTCCTTTTTGTATGAAAGCCCTTTATTCTCATCCCTCAATAATTTAGTCTATTCAATCTGACGTTATAGCACAAAAGGAAGCGTTTAAAAAATGCTGAATTAGAATGTTACACAAAGTTCATTAATGTAGCTCCAGTTAAGTTTTTTTTATATCAAAAATTATGTTTAAGAGTGTGGCTTAGCAATGCCATCCTGGACAAGTGAGCACATGAACAAGAGTCCAATATACAAAAACACAAACCCTTCTTCCTCCAAAAGTTCTCCTTGTAGTACATCATACACTTAATGACGGATCCCATGGGAACACGCTGGATCAGCTGATTTTTTAGGACAGGCAGAGATGGGTCATAATGGATCTTCATACTGAGGGCTGGCGGGATGGCACTGATAACATAGTTGGCCTGCATAATGATAAAATGGGGTTATTTTAATTTATCTTCCTGATCTCTCGTATCTCAACAACAAATTACATTTGGATAGTGCTTTTCACGTCAGGAGAATGTCCTAAGGCGCTGAAATAATTCCCCCTTTCCCATTTTTGCCAATTGAAGTGAAGTACATTTTCAGTTGTTTCCCTCACCTCAAACCTTTCATGATCCAGTGTCTCCACAATGACTGTACTGCCCGTCTGGTCAATCCGGATCACTGGCTTCTCGAGTTTCACACAGTTTCCAAGATGATGCATTAATCTTTCACAAATCTGACCAGACCCACCAACAAACTTCCTCTCCTGCAAGTAAAGAATGCATATGACCACCACAATCTATCTTACACCTGTGCTAAAAATGTCATTTTTTATTGCTTCTTAAAAATCCCTTCATAAAAAAAACATTTTTTAAAATTGATTAAAAAAAACGATTTTAGCAATCAGGATATGATACATCCTAGTATCTTTGAACATTGTGAATCATAAAAATGCAGTTAATTACAAAACAAGTAAGCAGATGCACACAGTGAGACCTGCAAGGAAGTATAATATTAGAAAATGCGTATCTCTTCCATAGATCACATACACACCCTGTCTTTAACTTAGCACACTTACTTCCTCTCTAAATGTAATGTTCAGTAAAGCTGCCTCTTGACAGACAAAGTTAACTGACTAAAGCACTTTTGTGCTCAATGGCCTTTTTGCTGACTTTGCCAACCTGAGATTTGTGTTTCACGAGCTGTGAATATTGCTGCAAAATTGTAAATCACACAACAAATCTGGTTTGTACATAAAACAAATCTGACCCCATTTCCAATATGCTCTACAATTGCATTTACAATGTCTGCTTAATTTTCCCACTGGCCATATAAAACATCAATGCTTTTCTTCACCAGCATTATTATTGATGGATTGCACTCACCAGACTACCAAGTAACTTAAAATGTATCAGATCAATTGGACCATGAAGGCACTCTGCTGTCACAGACAGCCACCAGAGAAATTAGATGCCTGAATTCTTTATCACTGCACCACCAGGGATATTGAACAACATGACTGAAGAGCACCCAAACCAACGGTAAATCAGATACCGTAAAGAGAACAATGCCAGGCACAAAGGCAAACATGATACTACAGATGGAAAACCACTGCACTGCAAGGGAATTGGTTGGCATAGATACAAGTGGCAATATAATATAAATATAATATATATAACTGAAACATAAAGAATTGCACGTTCTTGTTTAAGAAAAAGGTCTACTGAAAGATCAAGTGTTATTTTCCAGGTTACTGGAAGTTTTAGGGAGTTTTGAGGAAACAAAATGTCCAACATTCTCTGCTTGATCACCCACCATAATGCTGGCAGAGATGTGTCATCCAATCCAATTGGAGCTGTAATGGTTGACACGCTCCTGGAGGTAATACACATTAAAGAGCAAATACAGCAACAACTTGCACTTCCCTGCAAAATAAATGTCTTGAAGCCAGAATTCTGAGAAGCTATCTGCGTGCAAGGCACTTTATAAGTGCAAGCTATTGTTGTTTGAAGCATTTCACAAAATAAGATTATTTAAAACTGAAATGAACATAGTTAAATAGAGGAATGAAGCAGTTTATTTATACCAGCAGCGTCCATATAAAACATCAATCGACTGAGAAGCTAGTTCATTTGAAATTGCGGCTGCGTTTGGTTGAGGATGTCCCCACCTCAGCAGATGGAACCTAAGTTAATGGTATAAAAAAAACAAAAGATAATGATCTAGAAATAAAAGAATAATAAATACAGATTCACCCTCCCTCGTACTATCATCATCCAACAACTGAGTCTCTCCAACATTATTTGTAATCCACTATAGAAACCTAACAGTTAAATCAGAACCCACAGTGTTTCACATTTTTTTGCGTACCTGTCCACCGTTGGTTGTTGAAAATATCCTTGAGGTTCCCCCGCACTGCTTGACATACCACAGAAACCAGAGAGCAGAGACTTCATATGGTTCAGAGGTGACGTTTACATTTACAAATAGTCGAGCGAAGTGCTTGGCAATTCTACAAATTGAAATGAACATGGAAGCGACTGAAGAATTTATGAGATATTCATGCAATTGCTCAGATTAACAACAACATCATCAATTTACATTTTATATAACGTCTTCCACGTTGGGCTGGAGTGAACAATTTGTATGGTATTGTTGACGAACATTTGAACTCACTAACTAAATACTCGGTTGATAAACAGGAGTTTGTATATCAGTTACCATAGAAAAGCTATGACCAGTGCTCTTAAAAGTTACTGTCAATATTTCTCCAGTGCTGTGATACTGAACGTTAATCTTACCTGGTCCAGCAAAGTTTGTCAATCAGGTGTTGCATTGTTATTTTATCCCATTCGTCAGCATGAGGTGCTCTCCATGGTGCTTCAGGCGGAATCTAAGAGAAGAACACTCATTATACCTCCCATCCAAGCACATTGCCCTGCATCGCAACTGGGGGACTATGAAAACAGTGCTAAAGTGAGCTGTAGTAACATGGCTAACCTAATATGCTGACATCTCTTTTCTAATGGCAATGGAGAAAGAACCCCCCCTCCTCAAAACCATGAGTCAATGAGAAAATGGCACAAGTCCATAACACGCCGACCTTGCCTCCAAATACATAATCACTACACAATACAGTAAAATCCCTGAAGTGCATTGAGATATCATGACAATGTGATAAGGCGCTAAATCAAATGTAAGGATTATTGTTAATATTTATTTTAAACTGGATTATGAGGTTCTCTTTTATGCAATGACACCCTTCCTCTACTTCCCCCTCCCTGAAACCCCAAATATAGGAATAAGAAAGGGCCGATTCATTCTTTCAACTCAGGGCCTATGTCACAATATGGTAATTTATTTTTAAGCAATCTTTTTGTTTCTTCAAACCATGACCCTCTTTTCTTTTCTAAAGTTTAAACAATTCCATTTTTGGTTGCTTCAGCGGAGCAGTATTAACGCACTGGTTTATTACCATCAATCAATGCCTCCTTCAATTTAGTTTGTTCCATCTCTTTTTCAGTTTATTTGTTTATTTATTTGTTACCTCTTCTTGTCAACACTGTTTCTGAAATAATCCAATTAGGTTCCTGGCTCTGTTCCCATCCTTTGTCTTCACTCTGCTGGGTACAGTTATTGTCGGATAGAGGCTTGGCTGCAAGGTTCGGGTCTCAATCTGTGCTGAGATTAGCTAATCATAGTCAAGAGCACCACAACTGGCTTTGTTAAAATACAGTAATACTTGTATTTGATTTTAAAATGCTTTAGAAACCTTTTTCTATAAAATGTAGTGATTGTGTATTTGCACACAGCAATGTCCCACAATCAGCCATGACCAACGACCAATTTTATCTGGAGGATTGTTAGCCAAAATACTGGGAGAAACTCCCTTCTCTTTTCAAGTGGGATCTTTAAAGTTCCACCTGAACAGGAACTCATGCAAAGGACAGCACCTATAAAAATGCAGTGCAGTCCCAGCGCTGCATTTGATTGCCAGCCAAGACTGTGAGTTCAAAGTCCCAAGTTAGGGCATGAACCCACGACCTACTGATGCAGGGTGAGAGTGGTAACAAATGAGCCAGGCTGACACTTGAACTGGGAAAGAAAAGGGTGAGCAATGATTTTCAGTCCTCACAATTGAACAGTTCACTAACACTTGACATTTTAGTTGCACAATAAACTGGAGGGAGGCATCAGATAACTGTACAGCCATGCCTCAAAATACGTGAAACGAAAGGCAAAGTACTGCAGATGCTGGAAATCTGATTTAAACGCAAGTCACTGGGAATACGCAGCAGGTCAGGCAGCATCCATGGAGAGAGGAAAATTAGTTAACGTTTCAGGTCAATGACCTTTCCTCAGAATATGTGCATTCCTCCAGGAAGGGAGGGAGAAAACTCCAATAAGACTATTTGACTTAGAACATGAGACTAAAGCTAGACGGTATACAATTACATTTCAAGAGCCTCGAACAAGACTATATCATAAAAGGAATTGTGTTTCCCACAAAGGATTAGATACTTGGAACAAGGAAGTTCAATGTGCAAATGAACTCCTATAGAAATAATTGGCTACATATCTGCTTGGGGATCGGAGTATGTAGGGAATAACTGTAGATTGAGATGAACAAATATTCCACAAGGCAAAATGATTTCTGTGCTGCTGGGCAGGTGGAGAAATGTCTATGAAAGGAAAGGTCCTGAGAATCAATCCTAATGATTCAAAGTCCTTGAGAGAGCCATTGCCTCCCAGCTTTGTTCTTTCCTCTCCTCCCACTCCCTCCATGAGCCCCTCCAATCGGGTTTCTGTGCTGCCCACAGCACGGAAACTGCTCTGGTCAAGGTCACAAATGACACCCTGAGTATGTGTGACCAGGGCTCCCTCTGCCTCCTCGTCCTCTCTGCCGCTTTTGACACTGTGGATCATTCAATCCTCCTCCACCGACTCTCCTCCCACCTTAACCTCCAAGATTCTCTCCTTGACTGATTCAGGTCCTTCCCAACTCATCCCTCCACAGGCTGCAGATAATCCAGAACTCTGCAGCCCATGTCCTCTCCCGCCCCAAACTCTGTTACCCCATCTCCCCCATTCTCGCTGGACTCCATTGGCTCCCTAGCCTTCAGAGGATCCAGTTCAAGATCCTGGTCCTCACCTACAAAGCCCTCCATGGCCTCACTCCACCCTACTTCTGCAACCTCCTAACCCTCTACCAACCCGCCTGCTCCTTCCGCTTAGCTGGCTCTGACCTGCTCCACGTCCCCCGACCCACCCGCCCCACCATTGGCGGGAGAGCCTTCAGCCACTCTGCCCCCAACTTCGGAATTCCATCCCCCAATCAGTCCGCCTTGCCCTCTCCTTAGCCTCCTTCAAATCCTGCCGCAAGACCCTCCTCTTCGACCATGCCATCGGCCACCCCTCTTCCCTCCCCTCCGACCCCAGTTCGGGTATGAAATGCTGTACACTGTCCAGCGCCTTGGGACGTCCTTCTGACATGAAAGGTGCTATGCAAATGTAATCTTCTTGTTGTTGTATGCTCTTACCCAATTCTATTTTGACCCACTCAGTGTCCCAGTGCTGCTTTGCCTCATCCACCTCCCAATATTTGTTCCAGCTCCATACTGGAAAAGCTGAACCGTGTGCCCTGATTTCCAGACTAACAGCTCCATCATGTACTGCCCAGCAGTGCAGAATGACACCATATCAGGGCTGGGATGTGACAGTTCGCTAGCTGAATTCAACACCTGTGATTCAGAGTCACAAATAGTGACTCCTCATGGTAGACAGACGAGTGTCACAATGACCTGAGAGAAATGATGTGATTGTCTTCCAGAGCAGACAACCTGCAGGTCAGCAATATGGACTACAGGGATTGTCAGGAGTCACTATCTGCAATTCTGAGTTGCTCATTGCTGATCCAGGTAGTGTACAGTGCATGATTCAAGCCCCATTGTATTGGTATAAGGAAGGCAGCACACAAGAGCAAAGATTCATTTTAAACACAAGGAAACCAGCATCATTCATTCTCTTTATTTTAAAAACAAAACATCAATGGGATCACATGGTCCATCCTAATGCAGTGCAGTTTAAACAATGCATTCATGTTTTCATGTTTGAAGATCCATGACTTGATTTTTATTCTAGGCTCTACATCGCCACTAAGCAGCATAGGAGATTGATCAGGCGAAGAATCTATCACTGACCTCCTCACACTGAAACAAGAGTATCTAGTCAATATATTGGAGAGGCGGCCTAAAATGGAAATGCACTGCAGTACTTCACCTCTCCTCCAACTGGATATCTTTTACCTATGTTTATCACAGATTTATTAAAAACTTAGGCTTTTGAAAGGAATGAACAAATATTTTTCCCCACCACAACTTTCAAATTAGTTACATTTTGTGACAATTTTTCAGCCGCCCCAAAGCTTCCCAGTAATAACCTTTGAAGGAATATCTTGCATCTTAAAGAGGGGCATGCAAGGGGTGAACACACGCTCTCTAAAAATGTAGACCAACAAATCTACTTACCAAGAATTCTCCTTTATATACACCTACAACATTCAATCGGTACATTGTTTTCAGATTTACCTCTACTGTAAAATGCATTGAATGATCTTTACCAGCCATCTGTAGAAGCCCTGGTTCTTCTTACCTCCTTGCCCATTTGATCCAGCGTTCTCCATAGGTTGTTGTAATCCATATAGGCAAATGGGTTCCACATGGGTGGGAAAGGACCTCTGAAAGGATAGGATTTTCCCTAAAACAGAACAAAATCAGAATATAACCAGGTGGTTGCCAAAACTATCTGGTGACTTTTGAAAACAAAATTATTTTACCAAACAAAGCAGGAGGCATTGTTAACAATCTGTCCCGAGTATTCGGCAATACTCTCATAAATAACAGTCCAAATTCAATAGTACTGCGAGAGGCAGAGCAATCAAACAGCATATTGAGCTTTATAAAGACATGAAAGACAATTCTTGGGCCAAATATTTGCTGCTGCCTCTGAACGTCCAAACATCCAACACTGAACTTTGGATATGAGAGTCTGAAGGGACTCCGATGGAGTAAACTCCACGGTCTAAAGTAATTTGCAGCAATGTTGGGTTGCATGAAGTGGTTTGGAAAATTAGGCAAAATCATTCTTCACACCACCTAAATAAACACCAGTAAGTAATCGAACATATTGAAATTAACATTGTAAGACATATAATGGTAGCATCTGTGGAATCCTTAATTTATACATGGAAACCCTTCAATTGAGACTTCATGTAATTGGATTAAATTGAAATTTTCCATTATGGCAGCTGTCGGTAAAGTGCTGTTAACTGATGTCTGCCTGAATTTGGTATTCGGCACCTATAAAATTTGGTATCTGCCAGTAGATGAGTAACAGGAAATAATGCAATGCTACTTCAGAAATATGCAGTGAAGTGATGATCTACTCCTAGTAAAGTACAGAATCATGCATAAACAACCACATTGCAAAGTTTAATGAACGTCAATGGCATATGCAGCAGATTGGCAAATTCATAGCAGTACTTATGCCACAAGGCATGCATTAATGAGTCATGTTGCTGCACTAACATACATTATGTAAAGGATGGAAAGCACATGCTGCGTAATGTGACACTGTACAGTGATCAATGTTAAGCAAGGAATGAAATGTTGTATAACGCCCAATTAACTGGTATATGGATCATGTCATACATTGTTAGTAGATAGACACTATTAGCTACAATGTAGAAAATTTTGTCAGCATATTGCTACAAGTGAACATCACCATATTCCAGTTCCATGAAACCACCAACATAAACAATATCCAATAATAATAATCATCCCTACATTTGATATAGATTTTTCACATCAGGAGGATATCTCAAAGAGCTTCACAGTATGAACTGTAAAGTGTATCGACTGTGTGCTTTTGTTTTAGGTGAACCCTGTAGCCAATTTGCACATAGAAATGTCCAACAAACAACCATGAAATAAGTGATTAATTTTATTTGGGGATTTTTGGCTAGGATGCCAGGAGAAACACCCTCCTCTTTTCAAATAGTGATATGGGAGCTTTAACGTCTACCTGAACAGAGACAGGACTTTAGTTTAACATTTCATCCAAAGGATAGCACCTCCAGCATTGTAGCACACCCCCAGCAATGCATTGGAATATCAGCTACATGAATTCCAAGTCCTGATATGGGGCTTGAATTCACAGCCTTCTGAATTAGAAGTGAGAGTGCTACCAACTGCACCAGGCTGACACAAAGTGTTGGTGCTGAAAATCCTATATAAACCTTGCATGGAAAAGTACAAAATGGATGTGCTGCTTTCAGTTATGTTTCAAAATACGTAAGGGATTTGTATCAGTTGTACACCGCTTGCATACAAGAGAGCAAAAGCAGCTTTTTTTTTATTAAGTCATCCATGTATATTTTACCTTCATGCATGATATTGAAGAAAACTGTATTTTACCTCTCTCTTTCATGGATTGCACGTGTCATCTAATGAACACAAAATGTATACAGTTTTTATTTTGATATTCCATTAAGAAATAGAGCAAAAAAGGCCATTAAACATTTCGGGCATATTTTACAATCTAGCAACTGCTAACTAAGATTAATGAATCTCCTCACCATTTAATCCAGTGTAATTTTTTTCACTGCACCGAAAACTTCAGAAATCAGGTCATTTGCATTGCAGGCAGAGTGCACTCTCCTCTCTCTCTCTCTTTCTCAGACATGCTTTGAGCAGGGCATTCTTAGTTAAATTTGCATAACTGCAGGCTCCATATGGGAATGCCCTAGCACCCTAACTGTACACTCTCCTTCATACAAAGAAATCCTACCTCTATATCAGTTGATTTTTTGTAGCACATCCAAGTCTCTCAGAATATGCCTGAATGTTATCTACAGTCACGAGTGCTTTTTCTGCATCTTACCCACTACATTTTACCTCAGGTACTTCTGTAGTTTGCTTGCATTAAGCCTTTAGCCCATCCTCAGTTCCAGGCTAGGGATTGATACCTTTGTAAAGGTCAAACTAACCGGAATTATACAAGACTTGAGGCAGACCAACCCATTAATGACCAATAATTCCTGTTAATGATGAGCCATTGCTTAACTCTGCTACACTATTATATCATTAACATTAGCTTGTCTGGATCTACTCCAGTGTTGTTCACACTATCACAATCGCATCTCTTTGTAACGTGCACCATTTTAATAACTCTAACAATCCGCCCCTTAAGCATAGCGAACAGAGAAAACTGAAACTGATTGAATCTCTTCCTGCTTAGTAAGAGATTTTTTCAAATATATAAAACTGAAAGGACTTTCTGACAACATTCATCTACCCACAAGGATTTACAAAGAGGTCTCCTATCATCCAGATAATGGCCTCTGCTTACAATGTGGCATAGTGCCCTCAGCTCCTGTCTACTAGATCATACACAACAACTTGCACTTATATGGCACTCTCCACGCACGGTAGAGTCTCAGAGCGAGGAGTGCGTTGGAGTAATCCAAGCGGGAAGTGACAAACGCATGCACGAGGGTTTCGGCTGCATTTGGGGTAAGGTACGGTTGGAGGCAGGCGGTCCTGGTCAGGGACCGGATGTTGGGGAGGGATGACAGCTGGAAGTTGAACCGGGTGCCTAGGTTGTGCCCTGGTTCAGTGAGTGTGAGGGAGAGCCAGGGAGGTTGAGGAGTTTAGATCCGCAGGAGTGAAGACATTGACGGGAGCCTAGGAGTATGGCTTCCATCTTGTCCATATTCAGCTGCAGGAAGTTTACGCTCATCCAGGCCTTGTTGTCTGCCTGACAAGCTGATAGAACATCGGAGGACCTGGAGTTGGTACTGGAGGAGACAAAGTAGATTTGGGTGTCATCCACATACATGTGGATCTATTGGGAATATAAAGTGCCATGAACACATCCAATTTCTCCAGTCCATCAGACCATAAGACGTAGGAGCAGGAGTAGGCCATTCAGCCCCTCGAGCCTGCCCCGCCATTTAATAAGATCATGGCTGAACTTCTAACCTAATTCCATTTACCTGCCCTATCCCCATATCTCTTAATCCCTCTATTCTTTAGATATCTATCAACCTCAGTCTTGAATATGTTCAAGGACTGAGCATTCACAGCCTTCTGGGATAGAGAATTCCACAAATTCACTACCCTCTGAGTGAAGAAATGTTTCCTCAACTCAGTTCAAAAAGGCTGACCCTTAATCTTGAGACTATGACCCCTAGTTTTAGACAGTCAGAGATAAACGTTTATCCCAAGACACAGGAAGGAGTTGGATGTAATGAAAAGCAAACCAAACTAAACTTAGCAACACATTCAATTTGGCTCCCTGCCCTGGAGACTTACTGGGTCTGCACATGTATGTTGTTCATCTTATGTCATCTCTTCTCACAACATCACAAAATTGGTCAGGATGAAGAAGGCCCTTTGGCGCATCTGATCTCATCCCAACAGAACACCCTACCTATCATTCCTCTCATCAAAGCATTAAGCTGTATTATAAATCTAGTGTCCTGGCTTCTACCGTGCTTCACGTCAACCTGTTCCATTTGTTGATTACCCTCCTTTATAACTGAAAACCTATGTCCTCTTGTTCCTTTTTCTACAACAAATTAGATTTAACTAGAGTTCACCAAAGCCATAGTTGTGCCCTACTGCAAAGTGAGCATTACTCATCAATGCTCATTTCTCTTTCCATCGATTAATAATGTTTTATAATGTTTGTGCGTAATGGATTGTGCCCTGCACAAACATTGTGATAATCCAAACACAAAAAGGAACACAAGGGGGCAGCAGAGAGCCAGGACTGCCAAACAATAATAATAATAATAATAATCCTTGCATTTGATATAGCGCTTTTCACGTCGGGAGGACGTCCCAAAGCGCTTCACAGAACATACTGCAAAGTGAATTGACTGTATATTTGTGGGCGAACGCGGCAGCCAATTGCGCACAGCAATGTCCCACAAACAGTCGTAGATTGAAAATGACCAATTTATTATTGTTTTTTGGTTTTGGAGGGATTATTATTAGGCGTGTGGAGTAAGGAAACTTGCCCAAGGTTTCGCCCTGACCTGCCTGGAATTGAACTCAGGTCTCTCACTTGCAAAGCGAGTGCTCTAACCACTGAGCTACAGGACTCCACACGTCAATGGAAAAATAATTAACTCTAATAAACTCTCATTTATCTTTGAAAACAAGACCTTGTAGTCTTGATTCGGGAGAAAAACTCAAATAGTGAAGCCAGACTTAGTTACATATTCCATCTCTCCACTGGATTGTCATTATTCAGATCTGTACAAGTGTGATAATAATAATAATCTTTGCAACTGGTGTAGTGCCTTTCACGTCCGAAAGCGATTCACAGGATTTACTGTGAAGTGGAGTGACTGTGCATTTGTAGGCGAATACACAGCCAATTTGCACACAGCAACGTCCCACAAGCATTCATGAACTGAATGATCATTTTTTTTATTTGGCAAAGAGGACACAAGAAACTCCCATCTCTTTTTTAATACTGCTATGAGATCTTTAACATCCACCTGAACAGGCCGACGGGATCTCGGTTGAGCGTCTCATCCAAAGGATGGTACCTCTGACAATGCAACGCCGCCCCCTCCCCCAGCACTGGAGGGTCACCTTAGACTATGTGATTCGAATCCCGAAGTATGGCTTGAACCCACAGTGGAGTCCTGTAGCTCAGTGGTTAGAACACTCACCTCGCAAGTG